CCCGCCCACCCTCTGTCTCTCTCTGGTCAAATTAATAATAATAATAAAGTTAAATAAAATAATTCTTTAAGAAAAGAATTTCTAAATAGTGGAACAGCATAGGCAAATCTTCTGACTATATCTATTATCTACCTTTTTCTCTTCCTTTTCTTGTATACTATATTATCTTCTTCTCTTAATTCTTGCCCTTTCGCTTATTTTTCCACCTGTAGATATTGATCTAACAGATATATTTGGCTTTAAAAAAATCAAAATAATTATAAAATATGGACTCTATTTTATAAAGCATATAACTCAACTATAGAGCAAGTTTCATAGACATGAAACTAAAGAACATTCTAGAATGGTATAAACTGGTGACAACTGGCCCAGCCATCAGATGCTATGAGAGATCAGAGGGTTGAGGTCACACTGTGATCTTTAGCAAATGGAGATGTCTTCCTGGAAGAATATGACCTTAAAAAGTTGTCAGGGAGCCAGCAGATGGTGTGGGGGTTAATGTGCTAGATGCCCACATGGCCAACCACAGTTCAACTTCTGGGCCTGGTGACCTGAAAATCATCCCAGGCGTATGTGCATGTGTACCTCAAATCACAGAAGAATGGAGGAGAAGGGATTGAGGTGTGGCCATCCCCCCAGGAGATGATTTCTCACTTTCCCTCTTATTATCTCGGTTAGTGCACATGCCCTATGGTAAAAACTTTAAAAATAAAAAAAAAAAAAAGAGAGAGAGAAGAGAAGAAAAAGAAAAATGTTGTTAGGAGGTGCAGATGTGAAGGATTTCCAGACTCCTGGTTAATAGATGCTGCTACTCAGTGTGTCCTTACATGGTAGAAAGAGTGAGGGAGCTCTCTGGGACTCTTTTATAAGGACACTAGTCCTGGGCTGGCCCAGTAGCCTGATGGCTAAGGGAGCTGGATCCCACATGACCAACTGAGGGTCAAATCCCAGCCCCTACAGTTTATAAAAACCCACCAGATGCATGTGTGTGCATGCCCAGACAGGACGGAAAAATGGAGGAAAAGGGATGGTGGCATGGCCGTGCCCCATCAGGAGCTGCTTTCTCTCTCTCTGGTAAGCACAGTCAAGCTCTGGCAACTAAAGAAAAAGACACTAATCTTTTTCATGAGGGCTCACCATCATGTCCAAATCACCTCCCCAAAGGCCCCACCCTTAATACCCCTTAATACCATCAACTTGGGAGTTAGGATTTCAACATACAAATTTTGCAGGGTGCATATGCAATCAGACCACAGCAGTCTTAAATGGGAGACATGGCGCTAGTTTATTTTATCCCCTGTTTTCAAAGT